CGAGCAATTTGTTACAAAACCATATAAATTATATACCGTGCTGGCAACTGTTACTTTTGGGTCGGCATTTACATGTGTGGAAGTAAATCGCATAGGGATCTTATTAAGTCGGAGTGAGAGAAATGCGACCGACAGACGCGACGCGCGACGGTGTGCTGTTGCGGCGTTGCCGATACGCCTTTCCCTATCAAGTAAAATAAAATCACGATCGCAAACCGCTTATTTTTAAAAGACTTTTTTTCAAGAGATAACTAGATAAAATCATTAGACATGTTTCTGAGCATCTGAAATGGAATTATAAGGATATCGTTAGGGTGTCATTTTTTATAACGAGAAAACGTCAGTAATCGCGATAATTTAAAAACTGAACTTTTTAACACATAACAGGCCATAACTCAAGAACCACTTTAGGTATTGAAACTTTTTTTATTTTCAAGATCGGATATTTTACAATATGTTTACGTAAGAACAATTCGATAAGGTTGTTTTTTCTATTCAAAAATTGTAAACAATCCATCCATTTACTTTTAGAGCATAGCAATTTTCAGCAATCGTGTAATTTTTTTATTGATAAAGATTTTCACATACTGTCTACAAAGAAAATACAGCAGAAATATTAACAAAGTTCTCGAAAAAACTACAATCTGTTATTTCTAATAAATTTCGAGATATCGATTTTTGAATTCAGAGTTCTAATAGCGCGACCACTATCGAACACCCATTCAATTCCACTTATTTTTACCACAAATGTAAGTCTTTCTAGCTTGCACTTAAAAAAATTCAAGCTATAGGGAAAATTACAACGATTCGTTAATAAATGAACAAATTAAGTATCACGCGAGACGTAATTAAATCGTGAAGTTGAACGCATGACGTACACCTCTTCCTAGAACTTTAAGTACAGAGGTATTGATTGGGTCGACCGGTCAACTGCGACAAATCTGCTATATCCCCTTCCACGTCTCTTAGCGATGTGCACAGTTTCTCGGTTTATTTCACATGTTTGGCAACGTGTTTACTGTTACTAGTAATACAACAGTTACTAGTAATAAAAACATCACCGGTGAAGCTGTGGGGAAACCCCCTAGCAACACTGGGAACAGTAACAATGAAAGTTCCAAGGGGCCAAACCCAAAGAGAACTACAGGAGAGGTGGCTGACACTTGCGTGAGACCATCCTCCGCAAGTGGCATACAAGTTACCACCTCCTCCAAGGGTCGGGAGCCTACCTCCTACCTCTAAACCCAACAGGCGACACAAGCTACCGTTTCGTCTACCCGGCCTGGGTCGTAGCTCCTCGACTGTGAAGGACACGGGTCTCCGTAGGAAGTCCTGGGACTGTATGATGAGTTATAACTCAAGAAAGGGGGACACAATAGATCTCTAAGGTCACAGAGATTAACCCCCCTCCCACTTATTCTAACGTGTTTACTGTCCTCTCTTTGTTCAGTACATTATAAACGCATTGTACTCTTCTTACATACGGAAATCTCGACCCAAGACTAACCTACTTTTTCGGACTAGTGAAATGGACTCTTACTAGCATCTATATTTTTAAATTTTAATCACAACTAAGAAATTTAAACAAGTATGTATACTGAAAAAGATCCTAAAAATGCTAAAAATTTAGTCGTTAGCATGTATTTAACCTTAATATATGCAGCCAAAGCTTTTCTTTCGGAATCTTACTGAACAAATCCGGGAAAAATACATTTTTAAACAATTGTGCTAAATACTGTGTAATGATTTTATTGTCAATTTATTTTTATACTGATTATTATTTTGTCAATTTATTTTTATAGTGTATTATTTATTTTTATAGTGTCAATTTATTTTTTTGTTTTGCCTCGGTTATTATATTTTTAATTTTTCGTGTTCTTAAAGTACGTACTAAATGTAAAAAAACGAATATAAAGTAGAACGTTTTCGTCGATTTTACACAGGGTGAGTATGGCAACACTGTGCATAACCTTGTATTTTACTGGCTGTATGAAGGTTAGAATAGGGAGTTTTCGCATTGAAATGTAGTGAAAATTTCGAATTTTCAATTTTTTTTTCGTAGGAAAAGTGGTTCATCCAACAATTTTTTTCTTGTAAACTATTCCATTAACTATGGGATCCACATTAAAAATTAAAAAAACCTCGAATTCGTAGGGACCTGTTCTGCACAAGACCCTATATTTTATGTTTTATTAGATTATTAGAAGTGTAACATATTCAAAACTAAAAATAAAATTATCAATACATACATTTTAAAAACCAACAATAGAGCACATAGCGCCTATTATTTTGATTTAACAAACTACTAATTAACTGTTACCTACTAAAAATACTATTTTATCAACTATGAACTTACTTACTTGTGATTAAACATTTTTTTATTTCGTTCATAAATGTATTATTTCTAAGATATTTAGAATCTCTTTAATAAAAAAGTTTAGTATCTAACACAAAAAGGATGATCGACCGTAAATATCAAAATGCACAAACTAGTAAAAACACAAACTATAAACACAAATCACCGAACTTTCCGGCAAATCAGGAATATCTGAATTAATAATTATTTAAAAATGATTTAAAAATAACTTGACGGATCACCAAAATTTTACCAATAAATGGTAGTAAATATAGAGGCTGCCATGTCACATATAAATTAGAAACCTGTATTTTAATGTCTTTTGCGCCGTCTGGCGATGCGGAAGAAACTAAATTTGTAGTCCCATAAAATTATTATTAAGTAACTATTGAGGGCCGGCAGTGTCCTCCAATGAAAATGCGAGTTACTACCTCTAAGGCTCTAAATTCTAATTCTGAGCTGACAAATGAGCTAGATGCTTTACCTAGACCGTTATTCAGAAGCTACAAACCTATCGATGAAAATATGCATGAAATCAAGGTTGGTACAGTTTCAAGTTTGTTATAGTGATTTTCTTAGCCGCGTATGGCACAGATCGTTACCCATCGTGTTGCCACAAGCTTATTTTTCATCGGGGTAAATTATCCCATGATAACGGGTTTAAATTGTTTTACCAATTTTTTTTTTTACCAATTTTTTTTTAAATTGGTAGAACCAGAGAATAGGTACATTAAAGAAATGCTAACTTCATGTTAAAAAATGGAAACAGACGCCACCTGGTGTCGCTTGGCAGTTCTAGCTAAATTGAGGGGAATTGGAGGGGCGGGGCTTAAAAGAGGGGAAATTTTAAAAAAATATATTTTTATAAGTATCACTGACTTACTGTTTAAAGTTAATAAACATATTTTTTATTACTTTAATATAATTTAATGTATTAAAAAATGTGTCTATTAACTTTACACAGAAAATCAATGATATTATTAAAGACTTATTATTTTCAGAGAAAATTCATAGTAAATAAATTACCCATTAGTAAACAATATCATTTATTTTTTAGAGCTGCGATTTATATTACAATAATATTGAAATATATATATTTTTTTAACGATGAAAAAGAATATCCGGAACCTGAAAAGAAAAGATGATCAATTAATGACTTAAATTAGTTCAAAATACATTTTGCAAATAACTAGTGAATTGAAAAAAGATAAACATACTATTAAAAAGACATTTTAGTAGTATGTTATCATCTATTTACTGATAATACATAAGTATATAATAGGTAAATAACATGCATAAGGCACTATGATACAACTACCTGTATCATGATAACACACTAATATCACAAAAATATATGCTAATTTAAATTCCTTTAATGATCTAATGAAACACTATCTAGCCTCAATGCATGCCATTCCAAAGGCAAAAAAAACTGTTATATCAAATAAATATAAGCTGAATAAAACATAAACCAAGCCAACGTGCATAAACAACCAAAAAATGCATCAAAAAATACTTTTATCAGATCATACCCTTGGATATATTATGCATTTTATATATCGCACATCCCGTTCAAAAGTTTACTAACTCAAAATAGAGAATATAGAGAACATTGTCAGGAGAAGTAAAAGAAAATTTAAGTTAAGGTAATATGCTAAGGTAATTGCATATTAATGGCTTAAATAATATAATGTTGATTTAATAAAATTTTACTGGCATCCTTCTGAGGTATAAATCAGATTAAAAGGACATTGTTTTTGTAATAATTGTTTGTTTTGTAAACATTTTTTGAAGACAATACAGTTTTGAACGGGCTGTGCGATATAAACAAGGATCTTACTATTATTTGAGGTTAGAAAGTATTTAAATAATATAAAACAAAATCAAAATCATTTTTCATCATAAATTATAGAGGTACTTACGTGTTTTGATATTATTAGCAGGAAATAATACGTTTAGTTAAACAGGTACGCTGCCAGGCAAGTTCTATCGGCGGGTCTTTGCAAAAGTTGAAATCTAAAAATACAAAAATACGTTTACATCTTAGTTGTATTTACGAATAAAGTATTTGTGTGTAATTTCTGACTTACCAATAATCACATTAAATACATCTAAATGGTAATTTAATATTGTAAAAAAGAAAAATTGTTTTAAATCACTTGCCAGAACAGCCCGGCCAGCTTCTTTGTTGGCAAAATGGCCACGGTATCATGATTTAAGCAATGTGAGTGACAAAGAAAGCCAATGCCTGGCAGATGTTGCTTTCTTTGTCGTTGGTCCTGGCACGTTTAAATTTGACTGTTGCCTGTTTTCCCATACAAGTGACACCCCCGTGGGTAGAACTACCCCTAATGAGGTAGCTGTGGCAACACTACCGCTATCACTTTTCCTTTCGCTAGCTCGCGCGACACGGCAGTCTCGCATACGTCTCGCCACCGGGTATCACGGCCTTGAATTTTTACACCCAACGCGCGTAAAGAAGGCTCATTTCAAAAATACTAAAAGTTTTGAAAAATGTCTCATAATTTTTACACCACTTGACCTTATTTAAAAAATAATCTTGTAACTCGAACTTACATTGAACGAAATTATTATCTAAATTCAAAAGCTTCACCTTTATAGTAATTCAGTCTACCTGTTTCAGTTGACGTTATCAGAGAAAACGACCCGGACTTCAGAGAGTCCTCCAGTGACCCAGCGCGCCCTCTACCGTCGTCCATGTCGTACAACGGAGGCGGTGAGATACCCTTGCCACCCCAGCCACAACATCCCCCCAATACCGGAGCCCGCCGAAGGCAGCAGGCCTATGTTAGAGTAAGTTTGCACTAAAATTAACTTAGATAAGTCGCTATACAGGGTGCAACAAATTCGGGATACGAGCATTGGTATCTCGGTAACCGTAATAGATACGAATATGGTTAAATTGCGGCAAAGTTGCACTTTAGGATGTTCACCAAGACGCCATCGAAAAAGTTTTAAAAATTTTAAGAATTGCTGAGTTCTTTTGGAAAAACGAATTTAATTAAAAATCAATTTTATTTTTTCCTGTTGTTACTTTTTAGAAAATCAAAAAACTAAAATCTGACGGTATTTTTAGATTTTCAAATTAGCTGATTTAAAAGCAAATTAGCGAATTTGCGGGATACAGAGGCCAACTTAATTTTTTTAAATACGGACCTGCATTTTTTATTTCAGGTTTTGAAAGAAGTCGGTCTGTTGAGTACAATGATATGCCACGCTTAGGCTTTTTTTTGTTTCGGACATTTGAACACCAATTTATTTAAACTAATTTCAAGTCCGGCTCTTTTTTTTTAATATTTAATCTATTCATCGTTACAATATTGATAAGCCTTCAAACTTAACAATGACATGGGGTAACATATTGGATACGGAAAATCAAATGCAATAAAAAATAAAAAATTCAAGCCAAACCAAATCAATATTTTTCTGCATTTACAATAAAGAGTACAAAATGAATTCGAAAATATAAGAAGAAGATATCTTCAAAGAGGTATAAATTAAATTGAACGAATAATAAATTTGTGCAATAGGAAGGGTGGTAACCCTTTCAAACATGTAGAGCATTAGAAAGTAGTTTATAGAAGTTGATTTATTTATAATAACTACGATTAATATTATGCATATTATAAGATCGTGCACTGAGATTTGAAATTCACAATAAAAAAAAAGTTAAAGATAATATCTTTAAATTGCTGACCTGGATATTATTTATTTGAATCTTTCAAATGGCTTGTTTTTCCTAATTCAATGTTAATTAGCGCTGATCAATATTGTTGCGAATATAATCAGATTAAATAATTTAAAAAAAACCGTGGCGGACTTGAAATTATTTTAAAATAGTTTTGTTGTTGTTAAGGTACCCGAATCAAAAAAAAGTATAAAGTGTGGCATATCATTGTACTCAGGAGACAGAGTTCTATCAAATCCTGAAATAAAAAATGCAGGTCCGTATTTAAAAAAATTAAGTTGGTATCTCACAAGTTACCAGCTAATTTCAATATCTAAAAATGCTATCAGATAGCCCTAATAAAGTGGCTATGAGAATGAGCAATTGTTTTTTTGATTTTCTAAAAAGTAACGACAGAAAAAAATAAAATTGTTTTTCAAAAAAATCCGCTTTTTCCAAAAAACTCAGTAATCCTTGAAATTTTTATAACTTTTTTGATGGCATCTTGGTGGACATCCTAAGACGCAACTTTGCTCCAATTTAACCATTTTAATATCTATTACGGTTTCCGAGATACCAATGCTCGCACCTCGAATTTCTGGCACCCTGTATAGATCACCATACATATTGTAGCTACAGGGTAGCTTGAATTGCAATGAGAAAACTTCAGCAACATTATTCTGCAGATAAAAATAAGCAAATAAGTTTGTATACAGGTTGTTAACTGGACGGTGACTTATTGGGGAACAGAATGGCAACACTCCTTACATTCCAAATGTACTAAGCTAAGCTACCGACTCGTCCCGTCGCGTCGTCTCTCGACGAGCTGGCCGAGGTTGTCATATTTCAACCATAAAGCTCTTGCCGCGAGTAATAAACAAATTAACAACCTGTATATTAATGTCCTAAATGTTTTGTTTCGCAGATACAGGGTGTAAAAGTTTCATTTTTATTTCGTTTGTTTTTTCAAAAAATTCCTGAACTAACGTCGATATTTGGATGAAAATTACTTATTCTATTTATTGTTACTCTATTACTATTTTATTACTCCTACTTGTAAGTGGCGACACCTATATGGTTTTAATTGTTTTGAAGAGTAATAACGTTTTGTCTGTACATGTATTACACTACTAAATTCACTACAAGCAACCGTTCCCAAGATATTTCGAACCGAAGTAATCAGTACATGTCATATCATCATTGATAAAAAATAAACATTTTGACTCGATAGTTATTTGACCTAAATGATAAATTAGAAAACATTTTTTTAATCATAAATTTTTCTGGAAAAAATTCCAAAGTTTTTTGTTGTTTCAGTCTAATAACTATGTAGTATAAGAAAACTTATGCTAAATACTTACTATAGACGGTATGTACTTACTATATTATAAATATCGGAATCTTAAATGCCAAACTTTCCAAATCATAAAATATTTTTTCTTATTTTTTTTTAATTTAACACTTTGTATATTATTTCTTCGTTAGGTAGAGAATTAAAAAATGAACATTTTTATAGATATTTAAAGTATTTTAAATTTTTCAACGGTTTCGTAGATATTCGCTGTTTTAATACATATAGGTCTTTACCATTGACTTAATAGTATTTCGATCATCTTTACAGATATTAGTTCAGTCATTGGGGATTTTTGCTTGGAAAAAAATCCGGAAGATTTGCAACTTTGGAGGTTTATAGGTTTTGGGGTCCCTAACTAAAATCCATAAAATGCACATTTCCAGACTTGCCGCCGGCGCCAAATCGGTATTTTGTGAATATCTCGAAAACTATGCGTTTTTCGCGAAAATTCGAAGAGAGTAAAATTAAAGAAAATAAAATTTCCTATAAAAAAGGTTTTATGAAAATTTTCGCTAACCGTTTAGGCACAAAATCCCTTTTTTTAAAATATGATATATTATGTATAGTCGATTTTCCGAAATCAAATGTCGATTAGGGTTCACTAAAACTAGTTTTAGTTTAGATTCTTCAATTTTGTCATAAAACAGTGGCGTATCATTAATTCGCTCATTAATTTATGAATAATTAATTTTAATTATTGAAAATGTGTACTTGTTTCCACACCACCCAAGTGGTAAAATATATGGCGCGTTTATTTTAACGTTTTTATACGTTAATTCTTTCATTTAACGGAGGCCTACTCCACTAGATAAATTAAAAACTTTAACTTATCTGCACAAGCCCGACGGATCTGGCTCATTGATGTCAAAGTCGATCTTGTCTGCTGTGCTGGGCTCATCAGGGTGGTCTCTCAATACGTCCAACTCTTCATCTTCAGCCGCCAGAGGGATATCTACAGGCAAGTCCAACTCCTCTTCATCGGATTCCTCGAGTGACACTTCAGTGACGTTGTCACAGAATTTCCGATTGCAGTATGCACAAATCATTGAACATTGTAATCCTGCTTTTCTGCATCCGCAGGCTTTACCATAGTTGTTGGTTTTGTATTTACAGGATAAAAATACCAATAGGGATTTTAAAGCTGGATCTTTCAACGTTGTGACTGGAGTAATGCCTGTTTTTGTTTTCTTCCAATCCCATTCTTCGGCATCTTTGGTACAACCAGACCAATGCTGAACCTGGTGGTAAGTTCGCAATGAATGCTGTCCAGCACGACAATTAATTATTCATAAATTAATGAGCGATAGTTTAATGGGCGATAGATAGAAATAGTTTTAGTGAACACTAATCGACATTTGATTTCGGAAAATCGACTATATATATATGTATATCATACTTTACGCAAAATTCTAAAATTTCCAGGGATTTTGTGCCAAAACGGTTGACTTTAGCGAAAATTTTCATAAAACCTTTTTTATAGGAAATTTTATTCTCTTTAATATTACTCTCTTCAAATTTTTGCGAAAAACGCATAGTTTTCGAGGTATTTACAAAATACCGATTGTGGGCGCCATCTTGGCAAGATGGCCGCGCCGGCGGCAAGTCTGTAAATGTGCATTTTATGGATTTTAGTTAGGGACCCCAAAACCTATAAACCTGCAAATTTTCAAAACATCCGGACTTTTTTCCAAGCAGGCTCCTGATTCCCAATGACTGAACTATATAGGGTAGTTTACACGTTTATAGAGAACCCAGTGATACGATTTTTTTTAGAAAATTTGGATTTTTACATAAAGGCTGCATCTGAATCTATCTAAAATTAGCCTCAATGTTGCAGTCTTGCCTCTTCATTTGAAAAGTAGTAGTATCTTTTTTATTTTAAATGGAACACCCATTATTACATGTTTGAAAACTACTTTCATATCTCATAATTTTGTCTAATAGTTTTTGAGATAAAATGCAAAAACATGTTCTTAAGTTAAGCATTGCTAAAATCATAAATTGAGCATATTGAAAGTTGAAATTTGCGTTATAGATAAAGGAAACCCGATATTCGATCTATCTTGAATCAACCGATTGGATATCACACAGGGATAGAAAAAAATATATTTATTTTCGTTTGTTATGAAATTGCTTAAATCTTTGTTATTTTAAATTCAACCAAACAAAAATTAATAATTATATTAATTAAAAAATCAAAACACCATATAAAATTGCTTTTTAACGATAATATCATGTTCATATACCTAAACCTACCGGTTTCTTCAGTAGAGTCATTTAGGAGATAATAATTCTATTATATGACAAAAACTTAAACTTTATAAGTATCAGATTTTACTTACAAAATTTTTGAAATTGTCATGAAATTCCTGAAATTCAGCTATAATAATAGAGAATTGTTTAATTCTTAAAAAATAAAGAAGAAAAATGGTAGATTACTTTAAATCTTGAATATTAAAAATATAACATTAAAAAGACTTCCAGTAGGCAGTATAATTTGTGAATCATACCCGGTACAATTTAAAATAAGTTTATTTTTATCCCATTCGAGTCACAACATAAAAAATAATATTTTTTCAAGGTAAACTATATTGTTATTCGAAATCATCAAGAATAATGAAGGTAATTTTTGATAATTATATCAAACATCGTGTAATATTTATGAAAGTACATTAAAACGCATATTCATTTTCGACTATAAATTTATCCGTAAATTTGTAGGCTTAAGAATCAATTTCACTAGCCGGAAAAGTAGCAAAATTAGCGTTCGGCATTTAACGTTTTATGTAAAACTGACTAGGTATTTTTACACAAATGAAGAAGGAAATTAAAGATAAAGGATTATACTATATCCGTAATGTAGCACATTTTTAGTCAACTTCTTTATCTTTAAGATTTTGATGGTCAAACGTCAACAAAATATTCCTTATGTTTTGGCTAAATGTTCTCAAAAATACAGATATAATTTAAAATTCTGTTACAATACGGAAACAGATTGAAGTTTTGTAATTACAGTGATACATAATTTATATGATTTTGTGACAAATTGCGCGCTATTTTATAGCAAATGCTGAAGCTCTGCAAACCTTAATCAAGCCTTAATCAAAGCACGTGTGTTTGGAGTTTTGGATGTGGCTTACTACGACAGGATCAGGCTAGCCTAGGCAGATTTCTGATACACCGGGTTCGTCTCAAAAATGGCTCACCCCTATAACTTTTTTTAGTTTTTCACTTAAAAAAACGAGATTTGGTATGTTAGTATATGCCATAAATTAGGATTGATTGACGTATTCAATTGTTTCACCGGAAATGACTAAAACTTCTGATTTTTAAATGGCACCCTCGGTATTTTTTTACTTTATTCGATAGAAAATGACATTCTGAATAGAATGACATATACCTAATACGTCAACTTTTGACATTTTCGCATATGGTTTATTTGAAATTATAACTTGCTTTTCGTAATGAAAATTTGACTCGAAATACCAAGTGTGTGGTATCAAATTATTCGTAAAAAAATGCTTTTTCAAAATATGCTAATGAGCCACCCTCGTTCAAAAATTGAGATATGATAAAAAATACGATTTCGGCATTTTTCTAACTGACCAGGACAAGACACTAAAAACATTAGACGACCAAATGTATTTTTCCAAGGCTCCTAGATTAAGAATTAGTGTTTTTAACATATCCATGGCACTCTGGATTGAATTTTAAAATACGATTTTTTATTAAGCGAGAATGTCAAAAATTGACATATGATATGTCATTCTATTGAGAGTGTCATTTTCTATCGAATAAAGTAAAAAAATACCGAGGGTGCCATTTAAAAATCAAAAGTTGTAGTCATTTTCGGTGAAACAGGAAGTGATGGAAAACAATTGAATACGTCAATCAATTCTAATTTATGTCATATACTAAAATACCAAATCTCGTTTTCTTATCTGAAAAAATAAAAAAGTTATAGGGGGTGAGCCACTTTTGAGACGCACCCGGTATAATATATATTTCCTTCGACCACACACCCGCTTTACCGTTTATATTAACATATTATATTTTTTAACATACTACTTTGAAAATTATATCTTTTGTTTAATATTGTCTTTTACAAGCTTGAATAAGGTTATGGTTTTATTAAATAAATAATAGTGAATCATATAATGTTTCAACGAAATCATAAATGCTATTGTATGAAGCAACTGATAAACTCTTTCGAAATATAGGTATTATTACAATATAACATTATTCATTCAAATATTTTAATAATACAATATACAGGTATACCTGTGAATATCAATTCACGTTTTAGCCCAACTATAATTTATATAATAATAATATATAATAATAATAATAAATAATGTTTATTCAAACTGATCCAATTACAAAGTATATACAAGACTTATACATAACTTACGAATACAAAATAGTGAATAAACATAATATCCTCTTAAGGTAGAACCTTGTCTGAGGAGTTTTATTTCTACAACAATAACTACAATATTTTATTCTAAATTCTTAACTATATCTAAATGTATCAAATTAATATATTTCATTGTCCAACACTTAAGCACGCTAAAAAACAAGTTATTACACAGCGGTCTTATCTCCTATCATTATAGTTAGAACAATTTATTTATTTATCATTATAGTTAGAACAATTTATTTATTTACAGATAGATAGATACACACTTTTAGAGATTCCACATGAATGTGTATATCTAATAAAGTGTGTGTATATGTGATTTGTAATGGTGATGCTAAAGCAAAGCAAGAATTTCGATTAACATACAAACTAGATAACATTTTCTCACATTTATGTCAGCATGAGAAAAAAACAATATGGCGATATTATTATATAACTTGGTAATATTTGAGGGGTAGTTTCATTTCGTTGGAATTTGACTTGGAGTTTGCCAAAAATAAACTTTTTATGTCAAGCAGTTTAAGCAGAATCGTGGTTAATCAATTACCCAAATTTTTGGAACAACCTGTATGATTTTTTAAAAAAATTTCAAAATATGTAAAAAATAAATTATGCGTATCCAAGCGTTTTCCCGAAAGACTAACCGTTTTTTAAATAACAAATATTGTAATATTTGAGGGGCAATTTCACCCTCTTGGAATTTGAGATTCGAGAAATCCCTCATTATCGAACCACTACACTCCATAGTCAATCCGTTTGCCAAAAATAAGCTTTAAACGTCAAGCAGTTTAAGCAGAATCGTGATTACTCAATGGTCATATTTTATGAAACACCCTATGAAACAAGAAAATAAAATATACGTGTTTAAGAGTTTTTCCGAAAAATTCACCGGTTTTTAGAATTCGAGTTTCGAAAAATCCCTTCTTGTGGAACCTCTACACCCTAAAGTCAATCCGTTTTCCAAAAATCAGCTTTTTACGTCAAGCGCTTTAAGCAGGATCGTGATTAATCAATGACCAGATTTTTCGAAACACCCTGTATACATTTTTAAGAAATCTTAAAATATGTAAACAAACAAAATAAAATATACGTGTTTAAGCGTTTTTTCGGAAACTTGACCGTTTTTTAAATAAAAAATATTGTAATATTTGAGGGGTGGTTTCACCCCCTTGGAACTGGAATTTCGAAAAATCCCTTCTTATCGAACCTCTACACCCTAGAATCAACCTGTATGCCAAAATTGAGCTTCTTACGTTGAGTGGTTTGAGCAGGATCGTGATTAATCAGTGAGTCACTTAAAGATTTTATACCCCGCTGACAAGCGAACCTTTAAGTCGGCGTTTAAATGTATAGGAGTGAGTCGTTATGGTAATCTAGGAAGTCGGAGTGAGCAAAAATACCAAGTATTTATTACATAACTACTTAATCTGACGCTAGATTCCATGCGCCTGGGAAAATACTCGCCTTCCGTCTTTATTCAGTACATCTTATTTTACTAAGCGTGTTGTCCGTACTCTTCGTACACATAAAAACCGGCACCCAAGAAAAGAAATGTCGACCCTTAGTATATTAGTATAGAGTATAGGTAAAACGTCGTACAAAATAAAAACCGTTGCATGTCATCGAGCACGTGCGTTGATTGTAGACAGCATTGTTGCCAGATTGTAATCGGAGAAATATTTTTGAAAAATTTACTAATATCTAAGATCTATTAAAAATTCTAAAATATACTTTAAATTGTTAACAATTTTAAATAGTTTCAAGCAGCGCTGAAAAAAAATATTTTTAAACAAAACATGTTTTTTTATTGTTTAAAACAAATTTTTATGGTTTTAAAGAACATTGTAAATACAAAGTCGAAAATATGTTTAAAACACTTTTATACTCTGTTTTAAACCATATCGTGTTGAGTAATGATAAAGCCAAAGGACAAAACTTAATTCGATTTTAGAAACCTTAATGGTGCTCCTCCAAGTAGTAGTACAGAATTAATAGTTTATTTAGACAATATTAAGTTGAGCTGATTCACCTACACACCAAATCTATTTAATACTCTGTTTTAAACAAATATTTAAAACAAGTAATAGTGTCTTAAAAACATTGTTTTAAACATTTTGTTTAATTAATAACAGTCTAGGTTTCGGGCAATTCAAAATGTTATCTATTATATAGAGTGGTAAATGATTATAAAATATAGGCAACTTTTTGAAATATTTCAAGAATTAATAAGTATTTTCCATAGAAGATTAGTAGGTTTTGTTTCTCAAAATAAAAAAAAAACTCCACTGGTCTACTTTAAAATACTTTATTATAATATAACGAGCCGTTATTGTCACTTTCTTTCTCAAAATATTGTATCAGAGATGACACTAATTCTTGGCACCGACTATTTAACTGCTTAGGCATTTTTCAAAGAAAAAACTAACAACTACTACACAAAATAATCTGAAAACAACAGTTTTCGATCGATAGATAAAGGTTTTAAAAGATACAATACACGCGAGACAACTCTCAACTAACGTTCAGAAAATTCTGGTCAAATAAACGTGGCACCGCTGCAACCGCTTCCTCGGCGTTGCCAACACAATATCGAGTGGGAGATTTAAAACTCATTGAAAACGTCTCATAAGGGCCATATTTGTGTAGTGGTAGCACTGCAAACATTTATTAGCCTATTGGATAGCTCGCAACGGTTTTTATTTTGTACGACGTATAGATTTATATTGCAATATTTTTATTCTTTCAGATTATAGAGCAACCTGCATCGAAAGCCTTAAGGTTTCGGTATGAGTGCGAAGGTCGGTCGGCTGGCTCCATTCCAGGAGCGAGCAGTACGCCGGAAAACAAGACATATCCAGAGATCCAGGTGGAAGGATACCGGGGGAAAGCGGTAGTCGTAGTTTCTTGTGTTATGAAAGATCCGCCTTATGCGTAAGTATTTTTAGTACATTACAGTTGGGGGTTGGAACCTTTGGTGTTACACAGCAAAATAAAACACTAAATCACCACAATACACAAAAACACTTTTACTTTTAACTGGACGCGCGTTTCGCTAACCATGTTAGCATCATCAGCAGATGATTATAAACTGGAAGCCTATGGACTTTACAAAAAACTTACTTATAAGCTAACTAATGTAGAGTATGAATGTTGGTGTCTCTTTCAGAGAAATATGTTTGTGGTTATCAATTCAAAATTTGTTAAGAAAATGTCCATTTTGAATAATAAGTATAAAAAATTAAAAAGCTCTAAAAACAAACATGTTTTCCAAAGAGACATAAACATAGTAGAGAATCTTTCTTCGCAGACTTTTGATAAACAAGAGCTCAATTAATTAAACAAAGGTTTAAAGTTTGCATTGCCCAACTCTGGTAGCGCTTTGGAGGAAATCGTCGTTGGTGTTGAAACTGCTATTCAGCACTTGCCCGAGGCTTCTAAAGTATTTATAAGAGAGGCTTGTAGAAATCAGTTATCAAAAAATATCGTTTCAAGTAAATCATTAAAATCTAAAAAAAAGGAGCACAATATTGTCAAGAGTTTGCGTAACAAGGATTGTTTCTACCTAAAAGCTGATAAGGGAAATAAGGTTGTTATATTAGATAAAAAAGACTATTACGATAAGGTTAACAACTTAATCGATAATGGCCCCTACATAAATTTGAAAAAGAATCCTTTGTCTAAGATGGTAGCTGACGTTAAAAAAACTCTAAAAGAATGTAACACCCTTATTGATTTTTCTTTAAAGAGGAAATTGCAAGTATCCAATCCCTCATTACCAAAATTGTATGCTTTGCCAAAAATTCATAGACCGGACAAGTATATGCGCCCAATTGTTTCGGCTGTAGGTTCTCCGACTTATAATTTGGCAAAATGATTATCAAGGGAGTTCGAAAATTTACCTGATCATGAACCTTCTTTCTCAGTTAAAAATAATATTGAATTCATTAACAAAATTAAAGATATAACATTGCATGAAGGTGAAATTTTGGTCTCCTTTGATGTATCTTCGTTGTTCCCAAGTGTTCCAATTCCACATACTTTAGGCTACTTGAAGGAATTACTGAACGCAAATGGTCTCGACAACAAAACTGTCAGTGAATATATTGAGCTTACATCGTTATGTATGAAACAAAATTGTTTTCAATTTAATAACAACTTTTTTGAACAGCGGGAAGGTACAGCAATGGGTAATCCATTGTCTCCATTTTTAGCTAATTTATTCATGAGTAGGTTTGAAGTGGAGGCTAAGAATCAGTTTGAGTATTTTCCAAGAGTATGGTTTAGGTATGTGGATGATATTTTTGCTGTTTTTGACACACATTCAGACACCATAGATAATTTTATTTCTAAGTTAAATAATCGTTTTCTTTCCATTAAATTTACGCATGAAATTGAGAACAACGACAGATTACCATTTCTAGATGTATTAGTTATTAGAAATACTAATAATTGCCTGGAATTTGATATCTATAGGAAAAATACGACCACGCGCAGATATATTCCTAATGAATCACATCATAGTGTTGAACATAAAATGGCTAGTTTAAATTTCTTAGTTCATAGATTACTTAGTTTCCCACTTTCCAACGAAAGATATGAAATAGAAAGAGATTATATTAGGAATGTAGCTGAGTGTAATGGATATTCTCCTTCACTAGTTGATAAATTAATTAGAAAACGTAGGTATAGGTTAATAATTTCTGAAAATTCGACTTTTCAAGTGGAGAAAGATACGTCTAAATATTTTTCGATGCCGTTTGATAGAGAATTATCCCGTGGTCTAAAAGGAATTTTTAAGAATGTCAATTATAAACTTGTGTATAGTGCTAATAATAAATTACAATAATTATTAGGTAATCCAAAGGATAAAATACCTCCACTGGAAAGGTCGGGTATTTATGAAATTTCTTGTAAAGATTGTAATCAGAAATATGTTGGGCAAACTAGAAGATCAATATTAACTAGATTTAAAGAACATTTAGCTCAGATAAGATATTGTAGACCGGATAAATTTTGCGTTGCCGAACATGTTGTTGATAAAGACCATTGTATAGATCTTAATAATTTAAAATTAATTAAACAAGTCTCAAATTACAGGCAATTAGATACATATGAAAGCATCAGAATTAATAAATGTAAAGATAGTATGAACAGAGACAACGGTCCAATTCCTTCAAGTTCTTTGTTCCTACTACTCTAGTGCCGGAAATCTAACTATTACGCTTAGTGGGCTCTGACTCGGTTGGTTAGATTTTGCCACGCCCACTCGGTACCCACTGGGCGAGTATATAAACGCTCAACTTGTAGATTGTACTTTAGCTTATAATCATCTGCTGATGATGCTAACATGGTTAGCGAAACGCGCGTCCAGTGTAAAAGTAAAAGTGTTTTGGTGTATTGTGGTGATTTAGTGTTTTTATTTTGCTGATTAGATTTTTACGAATTGTAAGTTTTGGGTTCATTGAAGGACTAATAAAGCTACAATTAGTGTAACTGTGTAACACCAAAGGTTCCAACCCTCAACTGTAATGTGATCTGTGATCAGAATAGTGAAAAATAACAGTAATTTTGGATCGCTTTATATCAGACACAGACTCTAAGTGATGTTTAATTATAATTGTAAAATCAAAAGAGAGTTTTGTTACTAAATCTTTGAGATTTCAGATTGTAATATAATATTCAAATTGCATCTTCTAAGAAAACCATAAATTTCTTATATAAAACTTCTGGGAAACTATCTATTTTAAAAAAAGTTGTTTGGTGCATAATAATGATTATTCTTTGAACTTAGCTCGATGTGAGATTATTCTAAGCTAATTAGAAACTTGCAGCTAAACGTAAAACAAACGAATTGATATTTTTATTAATTATTTTTATAGCATAACATTATTTACTCAATAACAGCTATTTTATCTATTCATATTTTTTTACTTTGAAATGACGGGTAAACTCAAAAATACTAAACCTAACCCAAGAACGGTAAACTAATAGGATTGCTCATCCTCATAAGACGTACGTTAGGGATGCACGATTCGAATCGATTGTAATCGAAGATCGATCTTTTTGCCGAAAATATCGATTAAAATCGATCGATTTTTATCAAACGATCTTTTGGTAGAATCGATTTTTTTTCAAAATCGAAGATCGATTTTATTTATACATTTTTACAGGTTTATTTATTTGTTAGAATAAAAAAACACTTTAGTTTTGCTTGAATATTTGATTCCGGTGCATCTCTAATAACAACTCCAAAATTCCGCCATCTAGCAATGAAAAATTAAGTGAAGTGCTCGCTACCGCATGCGCCAATGTCTGTTTACCACTTTGATATTAGGTGTCAGATTTTTGTCGGTGATTCCCATATTTTTATATTTTAGATAACAGAATATTTTTTGATTTTAGCTTCTTTCCAACCGACTGATATATCAATATTACAGAATTTACCGGTACATATTCTGTGTCAAAATCATCATAAGCATGCAAAAAGCCGAATAATTATATTTTAACATTGTCATAGTATTTTTAATTTTTACAAGTATGTCTCGGTTTGTGGGTGTTTCTGATTCAGTTTGGGATGACTGTTATTCAATTTCAATTTTAAATGTGTTAATAAACGGTTTTACGATTTTTATGTATCGAATTTTTTTATAATTATATCGTATTTTTATTATACCAGTACACCAATACATTCAGAATCGAATATCGATATTTAATAAGATCGATCTTTTGTTACCGATTTTTTTCTGGATCGATCTTGTTATGTCCGATCTTGAATCGATTCAAAATATCGATTTATTTTATTTTTGCGACATCCCTAACGTACGTTCGCCTCTTCCCGCGCTTCAGCTGACAGTTGTGACGTCATTGTAGCCCTTGTCAAAGCCTTGTCATGATAGTGTGTATTATGAGTTGCCTATGGTAAACTTATACAAATAACAGCTGAGAAATTTTGAGTAAATTATTTTGTCAATTTTAAATGTGAAAAAGGTGTCTTTAAAGTTTTTAGAGCTATGGAGTTTATAAATACGTTCATTTTGTGTTGTGGATTGTGACAAAGTGCTTACTAAGTGCCTACGATATTGTTTATTAATTATTTTAAAGCAAAATATGGAAGTACTTTAAAAAGAATGCTTGTAAAAGGTGATGCTGGGAAATGCTGTTCTTAAAAATGCATTATCCGAGTATTTAATACGATTTATACAGTTAATTTTCTATACTGCATACATATAAGGTGTTTAAATAAATAAACTAAATAATGAACATGTAATGAACGTTTTGCATTCGGCAATCAATAATGCACGTGCGTGTATTATTGGTTGCCGGATAAGGACTAATAACCATGACAAGGACTACAATGACGTCACAAAGCGAGTAGTTTTCGCATGCACCTGGCGGATACTTTTGGCTGAATGAGCAGTCCTATTGGGTTAACTGTTCTTGCACCTAACCCATCAGATAAATACAGTGTATATCGATTTTTTATCAATAGAAAGTTTATATACAGAGTGTGTCATGTAACAATGGTCAGTACCACAACTTTACTTTACAACACCAACTTTACTAATATTACTGACAGATCAACAATGATTGAAATAGTTGAAGAGTCCAGAGGAAAAACTTGATAAGCGCCAATTTCTTAATTTTCGGATTTTACAATATTATAGTAGGTCTAACTTGTCCCTACAAAATGTATAAACCCTGCAGGGCAATAACTTGTTAAATCCTGTGATATATGATAAGTAAAAATTGGCCCCGGGAGGCACGTATAGCCGCCCATACTAAAATATGTTAATATCTCGAAAACTGCGACTTTGACTGATTTTGATGTTATTACAAATTTTGTTGCAAATATTATTCCTAATCTTAATTTGAAAACCGCGTTTCGCTAGCTACAGTAATTTTGGAGTTACGATTTTTTCAAATTTTTAACCCCCTCCCGTACCCGCTTACCAACCCCCCACCCCCACCAAAAACTAATGGCCAGATTCTCGGGTGCCACAGTATTTTTGTGCCAAATTTGGTTAAAATCGGTTCAGCGGTTTTTGAATTATCGTGTACAGACGGACAGACAGACAGACACCATGAAAATATTTTGTATTTAGGTCATTTATGACCCAAATAACTCATTTTGAGTGAAATTAAAAAAAACTTTTTTTAATTTACCATACCTATTGGTATGGTCGGCTACCCTTACCATACCTATTCGTATGGTCGGCTAAAAATATAATATATATGAGAAACTGATCCTTTCAGTGCTCTCCTGTAGGATTAGTAAAATGTGACGCTTATCATATTTTTCCCCTAGACCTTTCAGTTGGCAATTCTGTGTGTGTGTGTAGGATTTTAGGAGTAGTGATTAGTAGGTTTTTTATCTTCATCGTAATAGCTTTAGCTTTTTCCGTTTTTGAAGTAGGGGGTGTGCTATTTTTTCAAACGATTTATACGTAATAGAAAATTTCCAAATTTTCCTATAGGTATTATCATTTTTGCGTTGACTAACAATGCTGGACTTGTTGCTTTATGATTTTATCTCATTCTCCAGCACTTATGGATTCACACACAACATGTTATGTGTGGTACTTTTATTAGGTCGATCCCACTTCTGATGTCAGAATAAAGAACTCAATTCCACTTATTTTCTAAATAAATCACTGGATCTCCTTCATAACTCGTTTATTCCGTCATAGTACTCACGATTACCGATATTCTCAGTCGTCTGTTGCTAAAATATATGATAAATATTCGAATGTCTTAAATTTATTGCCAGCCAAAGAGCAAAATTACAATAACTAGCTATTTCAATTATTGCTCATCGCTCCGTACGTTTCGGAAACGTTTACAAAATAAAAATCTGTAAGGTAAAATGTGTATGATATTATTATGTAAGATGAAGTTTCCAGAATAAGTTTCTGTAATATTTGGCAAAAGTTACATTATATGATGTGAACTAAATTCCTTATTCTTATTGCTGTAATAAATTTCATTTCTTATTTCAGGGTTCATCCCCACAAATTAGTAGGTAGGGAAGGATGTAGAAAAGGAGTTTGTACCTTACATATACCTCAAGACACGATGAGAGTCCAGTTCTCGAATTTGGGCATTCAGTGCGTTAAGAAAAGGGACATCGAGAGTTCGTTGAGGACTAGGGAAGAGATTAAAGTCGATCCTTTTAGGCGTAAGTATAAATCAAACCCAAGTTTAAGTTTAAACCTTTTTTTTAATTTATACTTTTTACTCAAATCTATGAATTTTGTTTAAATAATATTTATATTTGGTAATGTAACGTAACTCTTGAATGCCAAATTTGCAACGTCCCTGTTCTCGGACACCCAAATTTGTAACGTTTGCTTCTTCTTGAGCTGTGTTACTGACGCTTAAGTTTCTTGTATTGTTGCTTAGAAGATCTCGGGCGCCACCTCTAGTTAATAAGTGGTTAGAGGCCCACTAGTGCCGGTTCGGGTAGCTTTTAAACAGTGGAGAAGTATGGCAGTGTTACAATTCTTTTAGCTCAGAGGTGGCTCAAATTAAACTCTAATCAACAGTTGTAAAATAAAGGGCAGGTCGTGTTTTCCAAAACTATTTACAAGTCAAAGCTTCATTTTAAATGCAAAAAAAAATGTCTGTCTTCTTCGGAAAGTCAGATAGCACGGCGATGTGTAGGTGGCTGGTTGCGACACCCAGCGCCTAAATTGACTCCAATACGTAGAATCTCGTCACCGGGTTGGAACAAATCTACATAGAAAAGAATATTAATAAAAACTACAGACTGTTAGGGGAAGGACGGCACTCCCAAGTTAATAAAAAAAAATAATTTATTCTTAAATAAAAAAAAAATAATTAATGTTAGAACTTGTCAATAAATTCAAAAAGAGAAAAGAAAACAAAATTTACTTGAGAGTGTTAGTGAAAAGAATTTAAAATATTCTATTAAAGGTTTTAATCAAAATATTAAAATAAATACGGGTGTGCCAATAAGAAAATGTTGTAATAATTATTTAATTAAATTAAAAGTGTTTCGGAGTTAACAAGAAATTATTCTAATAATTATTTATTTAAATTGAAGGTATGTCGGGGAAAATAAGAAAATACTCCAAAAATTATTTATTTAAAATTAAAAAGTACGGCGGGGCTAAGGTCTAAATATGACACGAAAAAAAATAAAATAAAAAATAAATTAAGACTGAAAGGATCAGTGTGTAAGAAACCTGCCGGGATGTATCACACTCACAACTTTCCCACGTTCCTAATCTTCACTAGAGATATACCGCTTAATTATTAAGAGAACTGACAGAACGATTTACTGCGGATTGTTTTCGAAAAAAGAATTAAACTAAAGATAGTTTATCTAAGCAGTCAATGAAGAACCTGGAATTCGAAGCAACCTGCCAGGATTTATCACACTCACAACTTACTTATTTTACCAAGTCCTCATTAACGACCCAGATATGTTTCAAGTGATTAAAACAAAATCTAATCCCTGACCTAATGATTTTTTTTTAATTAAATTACCAATAAGGAATTTAGAGTTTGAAGCAAACTGCCGGGATTTATCACACTCACAGTTTACTTGCTTTTCCAAGTCCCTATTGATAACTCAAGCGTATTTGATTTTACAGATTTGCTATTGATATTTAAAATATTTTTTTTTACTTTTGGAATTTATTCTAAACTATTTAGATCTTGCCACGGTACAGGATTCCTTTCTGAAAAAAAAAATTAAAAACCAAATAAACAACGAATTCTCGATACTCAATACTATACCATACTAATCCTGAAGGTTACCTTGCGGGCGGTTTCGGAGCGACGGCGGATTAGAAACGACGGAAGACGGCAGGCTTTTCAACGGCTAGGCGGCTGCGTCTCGGGGCTGGCTTCTGCTTGGCGGACTGCGGTGACTGTTGCTGCTGGTGCTGTCGGTGGTGGTGGTGTAGGAACTGTGCTCTTTCAGCTTGCCCGTCGCTTCTTATTTTCCCCCAGTCTTTCCCTCCAGTACTCCAGTTGAAAACCGTCGTGGTGGTGGCGTGCGCCGAGCCGTGTGCGCGTCTCGATACGCCGATCTAGTACTAGCGATACCAAGCGGGCTGCATCAAGCGCGTGGAATGCGTTCAATTATTAATTAGCGCTTTTTAGGCTAATTAATGGGTTCGGTCCGTACGTTAATCCCACAAATAAAATTTTATTTAAAAATTACTATTTTCCCGAAAAAGAATCAAATTTTTCTGATGTACGAAAGAGTAGAAAGATCAATTAAATAGAGAAAATTCGCAATCGGCGGAAAAATAGAAAAAGAAAGTTAAATATATATTAAAAAAAATAGTAACTTCGTTACAGTAAATAATAAGTTGTTATAAAGTGTGAGTCTTAAATAAGCACAAATATTTTTAAGGGTAGTATATTTCGACCCCAGAAACACAATATGAGTGACGAAAATGTTTTTTTGAAGATTTGAATTTTTTTTTCAGAACATTATCACCACAAAAATCAACCTACCTCAATAGACCTCAACGCAGTCCGATTGTGCTTTCAGGTGTTCATAGAGGGCGACACGCCTGGGAAGTACAGCGAACCGCTGAAACCCGTAGTCAGCGACATAATTTATGACAAAAAGGCAATGTCCGACTTGACAATAATCAAGCTGTCACATTGTGTCAGTTATGTCAATGGTGGTGGAAAGGATATAATATTGTTGTGTGAAAAGGTAATAAACGAACATTTATTATGAAGATTTATTATTTTTATTGTATGTAGTAATTAGCGGTGAACATTCTGTATTATAAATAATTGAATATTTTTTGACATATTTTAAAAATAAGTTTTATCAGTGCTGATTATATATGTATTAAAAAAAACATTATTTTTGTTGTGCAATCCTGTATAAGAGCGAATTAATCAAATAATTAATCATAGTAATTACTAATAATTACTACTAATAATAAGTAATAAGTAAGTAATAAGTACTTGTAGTAAGTTCTATCCCTAGATCATATATACAGGGTGGTCCGAACTGTATTCCGGAAACTTCGGCGGCATATTCCGCAGATAAAAATAAGTAAAAATGTTCGTATAGATGTATGTCCAAAAATGCTTAGTTTCGGAGATACAGGGTGTAGAAGTTTCATTTTTATTTCGATTTTTTCCAAATAATTTCTGCTGTAACGTCAATATTTGGATTAAAATTGGTGTCTTGGAGTTTTTTGACATGAGAAATTTGATTTTGATGTCAACATGACTCCTACTCATGGTACAAAGAAAACAAGGTATGATCGATAGCGGCTCCAATTTCGTTAAGTTTGCGCATACCACCTGTGACGTCATATGCCATACAAAAAAATATCCATATTGTTCAATTGCCATTAATAAAAAAAGACCTAAATTAGGGAAGAATTAGGACATAACCCCAAAAGTTATGTCAAATCATCACGGCAAATCATCGAGCTTGACATTTGAAAAATTATTTTCACATTTATTGTGTCATCTGTTCGGCAATTTAAAATTGGCGCGCGGAGCTTGCCGACCAATGGTGCCTGTTATCACCTGTAACGTAGTGACCAACCTGCGCAATATCATACCTTTGTATCATGACTCCTACTAGTAGATGGCGCCAAAAAAAATATACATTTACGACGCTTTTTACGTAAAAAAGGTCTCCTGGTAAAAATCGCTACGACTAATGGTTTTCGAGATATTTGGAATCCAAATTATTAATACCTGTCATCACTGACATAAATTAAACATGTTGACTAAATAGTTATTAGACTGAGATCATAAATTTGAAATGTTTTTGTACCAAAAGTTCAACAAAAACTGTTTTATCATCATTTTTTGCAGAAAAAATATGATTAATTTAAAAAAATATAAATTTCCCAAATTTATTATTTCATTGAAATTAACTATCTACTCAACGTGTTTATTTTTCGTCAATAATGGCATGTGATGACTATTTCCATTCTAAATATTTTGAGAACGGTTGCTCGTAGCGATTTTTACAAAGAGATATTTTTTACGTAAAAAATCACAGAGATGAATATTTTTTCCCTCGGTAGTTTTATACAGGTACGGACAAAACGTTATTACGCTTCAAAACAGTTAAAACACATGTAGGTGGCGCCCTCTACCAGTAGGAGTCATATTGACATCAAAATCAAATTTCGCATGTCAAAAAACTCCCAGACACCAATTTTCACCTAAATATTGACGGTACTTCAGAAATTATTTTTTAAAAAATTTTTTATCTGCAGAATATACTGCCGAAGTTTCCGGAATACAATTCGGACCACCCTGTATACTTACGTGGATAATAATACGTCATAGGATTAGCATTAGAAAAGATGTCTCCATCATCACGACATGCCATTATCATACCTTCTCTATCGCACTTGATGAAGCGTTCAATAAATGTTTCCTTCCCGGGGACCTTACTTTGCGCAAGCGCATGAAAAATTGAACGTATTTCCAATGTAATCACAAGTATTGTGGGGTGCACAATATTGTATTAATTTTGTTCAAAACATTAGACTTCCTTTCGTTCAACTTTATTGAACTTGTTCACTTGGAAACATTTCATCAATTTTATTTTTTTTTTGGTTGAATTGGAATGTTTAATCATTGGTTAGCAAAATATATTAATGAACTATTAGTCTTAGTCAGTAATTGAAAAATAAGTATCATCGTTTTTAATATTTTACCCAAGAAGTACAATTATTTTATATGGTTTAGAAAGTCCAAATTACATATCGATAAGAATAACCCTGGGAACTGTTATAAAAGTAAAAAAACGCTTTTTTCAAGCTTTTATATTGCAAAGGGTGCAAATGTATTCAGTTAGAAGGTAAATTTATGTTTCTTTATTTATAGCAGTATATCGCAATTTTTAAAATTCATATTTAAATTTGGCACCTGGACGATAGTTCTGACCAAGGATAGATAGAGTAGCACAATCGCGAGTACAACACAGAAATAAGATAATAGTACGTCGTTGATATGTTTGCGATAGTTTTTTTACTTATCCACGTAAAGTATGATATGATCTAGAACCCTGTTACTCGTAAAGACACGCAAATAATCAATTTTATGTCACACCTCTCCAATAATTATTTTATTTAAAGGTCGCAAAAGAAGATATCGAAATCCATTTCTTCGAAATGGAAAACGACAAGCGGGTGTGGAGTGCCAAGGCCGATTTCCAGCCGTCACAAGTCCACAAGCAACACGCCATCTGGTTCAAAACGCCGCGCTACAAAACGCTGGACGTCACCGAACCTGTCAAAGTCTTCATCCAACTCTACAGGCCATCGGACCAGGTCACCAGCGAGCCCTTACCCTTCGAACTGCTCCCTGTCAACTCAGGTAGGACGCCGTATTGGTCCCTTAAGCACGGCCTCGCCCACAAGAAGGCCAACTACGATTTGTTCAATAGCATACTGACCAACGACATCAAGTTGGTCGCTAAAAGACAGTTGAATAGTTCAGGACTTGATAAAATCGAGGAAACGAACAACAACGAAACTAATATTCCGAATTACGCGGACGTTAAAAAGAGTAAACTGGACGATGACGTTATTTTAGTCTCTAGCCCGGAAACCGTCTCGGAACCGGCAGAAGAAAAGTCTTTCGGTGACGATCTTATCAACCAAGCTGACGCGATATATTCAGACACCCACAAGCTTCTAAACGAAAATGTTCCGGTTAATATACCAAAACCTCCCTTCGGACCTCCCCAGGATGAGTCTTTCGATGACGCGCGCACTTATTCCAGTTTACAGCTCGCTTTCAAAAACCCTCTTTCTTTAGAAGTCCATCAAAGATACGAGGACATAATTATCAACCCTCCTAGTCCAAGAATTAGCGTAGCTCCTACAGTACTACCTCCGAAACCTGCTCCTAAAGTTACACCACCTCCGAAACGCGATAACGACTCTACTTTACCTCCTCTACCTCCTAAGCGTACTAAGAAACTTGAAACTTACATCGGAGGGTCTATGACGAGCATTCAGCTGACTGGAAAGCAAGCAGATGTTCTCTTAACTCGTTCAGGGAGCATGAGGTCTACTTCAGTTAGTCGTACGCAGTCATTTAACTTGCAACGTCCTAAATCACAGGGTGAGCTTTCCCCGCCAGGCAAAAGCCTTCCGCCGGTACCAAACGCTTCTGCCACACTACCGAACCCGAAGAAACGTGGCTTCTTTTCAAAACTTTTCGGCCGGAAGTCTTCAAAGGTAAACACACCCGCACCGTCGCGTGAAACCAGCGTGACCCGATCGTGTCACAGTTCTAAATCCCTCCAGGTCGACCAAACCCTTTCGAAAAGCTCAGGGAATATCTCCACTCACTCTTCTAATAGTATACGGATTAGATTAAAAGACGATAGTCCTCCACCGAACACTAGTACTGCTACATCCCTATCAGTTACGCCTATACCTACATCGAATCAGCTGTTTCCCACTGCACCAATGTACGACGAAGATCTAGACTTGCAGATGGATTTGACGGAGGCTGAGAACTACGCGCTGTACACCGCGATGGCGCCACAAGCGACTCAGAGCGAGTTCGACGAGTTTAGTTGTTACTATGCCCCGGTAGAGGGCGGTAAAATTCTTACCAGCGCCGAGAGGTTAACGGGAAAAACGTAATATCCAGTATACTCTTATCATCGAATTATCATTGAATAGATATCTTACCAAGATATCTATTCAAAATATCATGGCATTTAATTTATTAACAATTATTTGTTATTCGATAAAGAGAATAATCAACATGAATATATTCAAACGAGAAAGGTCTTTAAGAACATCACAGTTCATCACAGTTATATAAGGTCTTAGCAACTAATTTCAGACATGTTTAACTTTGGAGTTAAAAAAAGATAATCTTTTGAAAAAAAGATTATCGTTTTTTAAGACAGTTTAAAGGAAATTATTTATTTTATTTAAAAAAAAAATTCTGCGCTCAGTTATTTTAAGTTAAATAAGAGAGTTTGCTGTAAGAAACAAAAATTGGCATTCAATTGGCAATTCAAAACGAACAACAACGAAACAATCCAAATTACGCGGACGTTAAAAAGAGTAAACTGGACGATGACGTTATTTTAGTCTATAGCCCGGAAACCATCTCGGAACCGATAGAAGAAAAGTGTTTCGGTGACGATCTTATCAACCAAGCTGACGCGATTTATTCAGACACCCATAAGCTTCTAAACGAAAACGTTCCGGTTAATATACCGAAACCTCCGTTCTGGTCTCCACAGGATGAGTCTTTCGATGACGCGCGCACTTATTCCAGTTTACAGCTCGCTTTCAAAAACCCCCCTTCTTTAGAAGTTCATCAAAGATACGAGGACATAATTATCAACTCTCCTAGTCCGAGAATTAGTGTAGCTCCTACAGTACTACCTCCTAAACCTGCTCCTAAAGTTACACCACCTCCTAAACGCGATAACGACTCTACTTTACCCCCTCTACCTCCTAAGCGTACTAAGAAACTGGAAACTTACATCGGAGGGTCTATGACGAGCATTCAGCTGACTGGAAAGCAAGCCGATGCTCTCTTGACTCGTTCAGGGAGCATGAGGTCTACGTCAGTTAGTCGTACGCAATCGTTTAACTTGCAACGTCCTAAATCACAGGGTGAGCTTTCCCCGCCAGGCAAAAGCCTTCCGCCTGTACCAAACGCATCTGCCACACTGCCGAATCCGTAGAAACGTGGCTTCTTTTCAAAACTTTTCGGCCGGAAGTCTTCAAAGGTAAACACACCCGCACCCTCGCGTGAAACCAGCGTGACTCGATCGTGTTACAGTTCTAAATCCCTCCAGGTCGACAAAACCTTTCGAAAAGCTCAAGACATATCTCCACTCACTCCTCTAATAGTATACGGATTAGATTAAAAGACGATAGTCCTCCTCCAAACACCAGTACTGCTACATCTATATCACGTTACGCCCATACCTACGTCGAATCAGTTGTTTCCCACTGCACCAATGTACGACGAGGATCTACGTAGACTTGCAGATGGATTTGACGGAAGCTGAGAACTACGCGCTGTACAACGCGATGGCGCCACAAGCGACTCAGAGCGAGTTTGACGAGTTTAGTTGTTTTTTAGTAAAATTCTTACCAGCACCGAGAGGTTGACAGGGAAAACGTAATATCCAGTTTACTCTTAAACGGATCCGTATTACCAAGATATCTCTATTCAAAATATCATGGCATTTAATTTAGTTAACAATTATTTGTTATTGGGTGAAGAGGATAATCAGCTTGAATATATTTATTAACAAACGAGAAAGAAATACGAGTTTTTAAGATTACAGTTTTATAAGGTCTTAGCAACTAATTTCAGACATGTTTAACTTTGGAATAAAAAAAGATAATTTTTTGAAAAAACAAAGATATAGTTTCAAGTATATTATTTATTTTATTTAAAAGTCTTTTGCACTTAGTTATTTTAATTTAAGTAGGTGAGTTTGGTGTAAGAAACAAAATTGATCGTATTAGATGTCATTTAAATAAAAGCTCATTTATTATACAGTTTTCTAATAATAATTTTAGCTTATTAGCTTTCCTATCTAAAAACTATTGATTTGAATATAATTAGGAGATATTCACTCATATAATAGGAAATTACTATTTTTTAAGCGTATACTTAGGGTATTTCCTAAATTTTTAATATCTGTACCCTAGAAGCAAACTACCTACATTAAGTCCAAAATTGGCATATTTGAGTCACTCCAAAAAATATTGGTATAATTTATTTAAAAAATAGTTTTACAATTCATTTAAGTTCAAAATAAGTTGTTCATATACCAAATATTACAATCATAGGTTTAAAAATACACGAGTAATTAAGAAATAACTTCAAAAAAAATTAATGCAATTATTAAATTGTATTAGAAATATACAATTAGTTGCAGTAAAATAGGTATAGAATTTTAATCTTAAGAACTCTTGTTTCTTCTCTTTTATGTCTAATTATTGTTTAATTGAATTTGTCATGATTATTTTTTAAATTACATTTGTATGATAAAATGTATTTACTATGACTATGACTATGTAAATATATAAATTCAAGAATTCTCTTTATTTACTAATGACATTAAGGTCAAATTAAAGTAACCATAAAATACGTATTTTCAACCAAATAATTACCATTACTTAAATAATATACCACTTTACATATATCTGTAAAGTAGGACCCAAATATTATGATATAACTCTTAGAATTAGAATCGATGTCACTTTTTAATTATTTTTTAATTCTTATTTTATTTAACTCTTTTTTGTTTTGTTGTTTTATATATTTTATGCATTTTTTTGTTTGTTTTGTAGTTAGTGATAAAGATTTTAAGAGAAAGAGGCCCAAATTCGACCATAGCGATGTTATTAATCGATTGTCTGATCAGGATCGTAAGTTTTATTTTATTTAATTCTGTACATTTTTGGTGGTGGGCATCGGACGCATAAAAATGAAAAATTATTTTCATTATTATTTTCATGATGTAAAATGACACTCAAACAATCTTTGCAGATGTAAAAAGTATATCATAATTTAATAACCATTTTAATTGCACATATCATCAAAAGATTCAGTGAGTTCATTTTATACCTTTTATATATCTATAATTCTAAAAAATAACATAACAATATTAAAATTATTCTTGTCTGTGTTCCTGTTATTTCTATTTTGCTAAATCCGCAACAGCAAATAATTAAACTCATCATATTCAAATCTTACGTGCCTCAACAAAGAAAAGTGAATCATTCATTTCTAAATTATGTCAACGTACAACCACAGATTAGGTATACTATATGTATGCAGATAAAAATCTTATCCCTAATTCGTGGTACGAAAATTGTTTTTTATGACGATGTGCAAACGAGTAAAATAACAATAAACAGCGTAATAGAGAGATATCGTTAAACCGAATAGCGGACATGGACGTTAATATTATATAGGCCAGGTGTTATTTCCTTTACGTGAGGTGGTATTAACTCTCTTCATTTATAGTTATCGGACCGGAAAGAATTCTGTTCGCGTCGCGTCCGCTATTTAAACTTAACCTAACTTTGAATTTAAAACTTTGAAATTGTTTTGTTTACTAGGTATTTTAAAACTAAAGGGCTAAAATGCTTATTTCCAGTGCTTTATTGTTCAACGTCTGCCAGTGGGTTTAGGGCAACAAGCAACAAATTCTCTTAGAAGGGCTAAGTCGTCATTTGCTGTAAACCTAAGCCTCTTTATAGGTTCTTTAATATTGGAAGAGGTGGAATCCATATTTTTAGCCGTATTTATTTGATTAAAACTAATCCCAGCTACTTAAATATCAAATTAGTAAAACTAAAGTAATAATTCAAAACAATTCAAACATAACCTAAAATAAAATATCTCGCCGACCGGCCCCGGTTGTCAAATACCCGCACATGCCCATTTAAGCAATTTTTACACGTTATTTAGCAATAGCGCTTGGTGTAATTCAAGAACAGTTAACCTTACCGTTCTTGGGTGTAATTGATTCGCAAATTACGTCAGACGGTAACGTTATTAGCGGGCGTTGCGTTAAAAATTGACTCGCGCATATCCTAACCGTGATAAGGTACGCGTAAATACTGCATGACGCTATTCGGTTTTCCGATATTTCTCTAATAACTGTGCCGGTCAGGCGCTGTGCACAATTTTAGAGGCCATAAGTGGGCGTGCTATGTGCGCAAACTAGTAACCTAACTAGTGCCCGATTCCGAAAATTGGAACCACGAGAAAACATAAGGAAAAAACAAAGTTTATAATCTGTATAATCTGTGGTACAACTTTGACGCCTTTTCAAAAGAGTCTAACTATTTTTAGCAGAAAATCATCTGGGGAGATAACCTTTTCAAAATTTACATGGGATTTCCTATGCCCACTCTATATTAGATCTAAAAACTAAGTTCGAAAATTTAAGAATCAGAATGGTATCTTTAGCTTATGAATCTACACACCATTAGTTTTTGGTTATATACTTTAATATGAAAGCAACATTTTTGTTAAAAGCATGAACTATAATGATGTCGTCTCAATTTATAAACAGTTTTATACAAGTTCAAATAATATTAGTATAGAATTAATTGTTTTTTATTAAACCCGTTATCTGTTTCATTCTTTTAACATCTCGTTAACATTTTGTTACTGAATCTCAAAATGTTATTTAATAAACATTAAACAGATTTTGGGAAAATATATTGATATTAAGTTTGTCACTTAAATATGTAGTTATGTTTCTATTTTTATGTTGTATCTAAGTAAAGTTAGTATTGTAGTTATTTTTCCTTTATACAGTTAAACCGTTTAAGAATATAGAATATATTATAACGAATCATAGGAAAGAATTTACTGTGTGTTGTTAAATAGAAAAATGGGAAAGTTGCTTTAAATAAGTGGATTATATAGTTGAATTTTTGAAGTTTTATCAGTCATGTAGCTCATATATAGACAGTACTTTTTACTTTTTGTAATACTCCGCTTTTATATTGTCCTAAAATACAAAGAGTTATAAAAATTTGTTAGTATTTTGTTTATAAACCCACAACTTTTTTAAAACGATTTTAGGAGATGTTGGTGGCTACAAAGGTATGAAACTTAAGTTTTTGCATGTTTTTTCTTTTTTTTTTGTGTGTTTTGAGTTTTCTTTTCTTAGTCTACTTAGATTTTTTTTAGATTTTAGTACTTTTCCTGATTGAGTTTGGTTTTTCTTTTGCTTTTAAGCTTAGAAATGTTTTTTTTTTGTAATTTTGTTTGTTTTTGAAATGCCATTGGCATCCTAATTTTGAACATTTATCAATAACTTTTTTATTAAATCATATTTATAAAATATTTTATTTTCCGAAAAATTAATAATATATTTTAGTTTTATTCTATATTTTGTATATTGTCATATTTGTCTATTGTCATTGTATATTGTTTCTTTTTTATTTAATTTCTTTAAAAACAGTAGAAAAATAATATAAATATTAAGAAAAAATCAAATATCTGAAAATTTAAAAATATAGAAACATTTTAGTAAAAAAATTAAAATGTAGGCATAGAGCTTTCATAAAATATGGATGCTGAATCTTAATCAACAAGATATCTCTTTTCAGCTTAGTAAACTTAAATTATTTATTTGAAAAACATTATTAACGTTCTATATAATATAATTTTAATTCTATTCTTTAGTAAATTGTCTCTAATATTTACTCAAAACAAATAAATAACTATTTTATTCCCATGGAAGAACTTAAGTTGCATCCCCGTCAAGCAAATTGTATTTTTGAATATTTTTCCTTATTTAAATAAAAGCTAAGAAATATCATAAGTTTATTCAATATATACAATGCACGTTTCCCATTTTTTGTTATAGCAATATTATGCGTTTATACTCTTTGTTTCGTGTGGCATTGTTGTTTATGGTGTTAAACTTATTTATTTTTTATTGATTTTCTAAAGTCTGCATGCATGCGTGTTTTTACAGTGTACAAAAAATGTTTTAAAAGAATAGAATTCAAAATATTAATAAAATTTACTTGATTTTTAGGAATGGCAATGCAGCACACTCTACAGACTCCATTGATGGAACCAATCAAAATAGAGCCACGAGGTAAATAAAATATACAAAGCGTAAAGCCAATATTTCATACAGAGGGTAAAAAAATAATCTCTTTAATGAATTAATCGAATTATCACGATTGAGTATAAAATTATTTATGATAAGTGCTTATTTTATTTACTGTTGATTTTTTGATACTTTAGTCATAATCTGTTAATTAAAATCTGAACCGAGAAGTCAGGGAAGATTTTGACCATAGATAAAAGGCTTATACTATTAAATAGATAGGCAACTTATAATACATTTCAATTTTATTATACAAGGGCGCCTCTGGTAGACGGAGGAAGAAATACTAATGGAAGAGAGGGGTGCGGGGAAGGGGGGTTGTTTTAGTTAATTTAAAATAAATTTAGACATACATGTAAGAACACTTTGTGTGCTTTTAATTAGGTCGAACATATTATAAACGATAAATCAACTGAATTAAAAGCATACAAAGTGTTCTTATATGTCAGATATTAATTAAAAAATATATTAAAAACTAGAAATAGTATATATTAAGTTGCTACAGTTATAATTTAATCTTTGGCGGTTTTCAGCAAATAGCAGGCAGTTTTACATAATTTTCCTCCCTTTGAAGTGAATTGGAAACGGCTATATAATTTTGGTGTAGGCAAGATTCCCAGTTTGTTTCCGTTTGGGACCTGAAATAATAAAAACAAATTAAATTAGATATAATCATCTGCTGATCATGCTAATATAAAACGCGCGTCCTTAATTCCTTACATGCACCGTAAAAAAATTAAATAACTGCTCTGCAAGTAGCATTTATTAGCAGTACTAATTTAAAAAATCTATAACTGTAAGTAGATATCAAGTAGATATGTTTAATTTACTTACCATTGTATCCTTCGGAAACCAGGCGTACAACAATTAAACTCCATGATAAAAAATAATTAAGAATTATTACAAAACACAAATTGTCCCACCATTTTTAAAAAACAGAATACTAGCAAAAAATCTGAAGGAATTTAATTTTACAATAATTCGACAATCAAAACAAAAGCAAACCGTAAAATCACAACAAAAGCGTCTCTGAGTGACAGTTAAAAATCAAATTTTATTATTGTCAGATATTGACATTTGCATTGTTAATATTGACAGTTTTAATATTTTGCGCCACTGCATCTTGGAGGAAAAACTATTTTTAATGAACTGTCATTTCCATTTAAGTTTCCCAGCCATGATTTTGACATATCTACGTGTCGTCCAAAAAATGTCAGAAAATACAATTTACTTCTGAATTAAAATGACATACGCCAACTGTTCCTATCAGGTATCCTCTCGTTGAGAAGACTTCGGTCATATGCCTATAGGCATTTCAGTTGATTTCAACAAATTCCGACCGCAGCGCTTCAACGGCAGAAATCAGAAACTATCAGTATGTATTTCACGCCGCCCGCTGTCCCGGTTATAGTTCTTGTTGATCGCATTAAAATAATATTGAAATCGTTGCTTTGTCATAATGTTTAAGTATTTTAGTTTATTACTAGTGCAGTTATTGAGACTATAAAGCACTCAGGTACGTGGTTTGTACGATGTAACGCTGTTTCGGGTAGTAAAAATTTAGTGAAAAAGAATTCGAACTAAGCGTCGTGTTGTGTTGTGACAATTTGAAATGTTAATAAAATTGCAAAAAAAAATGTTAACGCGTAAAGGAGAGCGTAATTAGGGCGTTGTTAGGTGTAATAACATTCAGTAACTCAACCTTCCTGGACATTCAACTCCCCCGGAATAACATTTTATAGCTTCATAGTTTCTCATACCGATTTGATCAAAAGCAAAAATGGATTCAAGCAGTTCGACGAAACAAGTGATTAAACAAAGTGCTCGTTACATAATCAAAAAAAAATAAATAAATAAATAGACATACTAAGAGAGGATAAAATATAATTTGCAATATTAATGGTACACTTTTTTTAATCAACTAGTGATTAAATGTTTTATGAACATCTTCAAAAATTATAATTATGTACCTTTAAAAAATTTCGTTATAGCCGAAATAGCCCCAATTTATGATCCCACTAGCAAAACCGGTGATTAAAACTCTACCGTAGTTGAACCCAACTAAAAAGTTTTTTTTAGCTAGAATAATAAATTATAATACAAGTTAGACCTTCTAAAGATTTTAAAATATTTACTTTTTTATTTTTATTTTTAGAATTTTCAGAAATTATACTTACTAACACTTTTAGAATAATTAAATAATAAATTTTTCGTATTCTCGATATTTAAACCCATGCATTTGTAAGTACGAGTTATTTGCGATACTCTCGGATCGTGGCACCACCGCGCACCGGCGGAGATGCATCAAGCCTATAGGAACAGAACATTGTAGCAATGAAACAAAGTAACACTCAAATATTTCAAAAACTGTTGAACTTTATAAAGTTGTCCATACCTAAATCGTACTTTACACGGGATAGAAAATTGAGATAGAACTTGCTAGAGTAAC